TTTTTCAGTCAAGTGTAATCCATGTATTGAACTGCTTACTTGTTCTCTTAGTAGTTTGTTCACAGCCTCCATGTGGTAAGAGTTCATTTTCCCCCTTTTAAAAGGACAGATTTGTCTTCATTTGTTATTTGTAAATCTTCAATCCACCATTGTATTGTTAATTTTAGTGATTCCGGCATATCATAGATTTCATCAAGACTATTTTTAAATTCCACAAATTCACTTTTTTTCACTTATATCTGACAAATCCGCTTTAATTTTTTGCTTTTAAGCTCAATGGAAACGAAGGTTCAGGATGAGCTATTAGTACCAAAGGGGGATACTCCGTCGTCCTATGTCAACAATCATGTTATTCTCTTAAACTGATGGACAGATTAACCTCAAATTTGGTATGTAGCATTCTTGACAGTCACACTTAAATTTGTTTAATTGGTCAAGATAGCTAAAAATAGAAATAAAACTTTCAACATCTACTACTAATCAAAAGATGGATGAATACCAAAATTTGTCTGTAGCATTCTTAGGTAGTCTTTGATCAGATTTGCTCATTTTAATGTGATTGGCCTCTTCTAGGGGTCTCTAGAGCTCAAAATAGAAAAGAACCTTTTGATCAGTATGAATTGTTCGTGTTAACATTCTTATTTAACTTCAGAAAACGGAGGAGTCATTAGCACAATTTATTCTGTAGATAAATTTTAACAATACTTATAAAAAATTCGTATGCACAAGATTTAGTCATTCAAACATTGTACTTAAAAGCACTAAAATGTTTCAAATGAATCATCTAATACAATAGAATAGGGTTCATTTAAATGTGTTACGCAGTAACGAAATCTTTTTTCGTGACGTAGGAAACGTTTTCCTCCGGATATTACCATCTCCTTATGCATGTGTGCAACTGGAAAAAAAGTTTAAAAACCCCTGTATGAAATAATTATCACCACTTTCTAAAAAGATTCGAAATCTAAATTGATTTTTATTTGCAATACATAAAAATCTTTTTTAGCTCGAGGTATTGTTATAGTCCTGGCGGGGTTGCCGATACCGTTGCCGTCCGCAAACTTGTACCTGGATCATAACCTTTTAGTTTCTTGGTGTATTGTCTTCATACTTGGGCACAACAACCCTTGGGACAAGACCTTTCAGTAGATCACACTAACCTTGACCTTTATCCATAAATGACCTTGAACTTCAAGGTCGATATTCCAAATTTTGCTTGTTCTTGATATAATTGGCTGTAACTGTTATTTTTGAATGGATTGTCTTCAACCTTGTACATAATTATCTTCAAGGATAGCCCTTTAAAATAACTAGACAGACCTTGACCTTCACTCATAAATGACCTTGACTTTAAAGGTCAAATTATTGAAATTGTCAAGCATTTTCTTTTTGAATGTCATGATTTTTCACAGGACAGGCCCGTAATAGATTTTATTGTGTAAATTCACTCAAAGAACTCTTTTATACAATTTCATCCAAAAACATCATTGTTTATTTGAAAGAGATAACCTTGTATTCTAGGTTCTAAATGGCTCATTTTTATTGTCATTTAAAAATGTTAAACATAACATTTTTAGCCTATTGTAGCATCGGAACGATATCGCCAGTAAAGTGTTGACGTGCCATAAAAATCCAAAAAAAAAAAAAACCAAACATAAATGACCTTGACTTTGAAGGTCAAATTATTAAAATTTATATAAATATATATGTGTGCTTTTGTTACTATTGCACAGGTTTATATTGTATGCTTGTTCTTCATTAAAAATAAATCCATTAAATATATATGCAGTTGAAAAAAAAAATTACATAGAATTTCATTTTTTATGTCGCTCATTCTACTCCGTAATTAATTTTGTCAAGAAAATTTTTTAGATTTTGCAAGATTGCATTCCCTTTGCAATGATTTCCAGCCTCCGTTTTAAATATGTATAATACTCGAAGCTTGCAGCATTTAATCGGGAACGAGCAACACAAAATGGCTGAACAGTAATCTAACTTTCTTGAATAATGGTAGATTTGCTGAGATAACGCCAATATTCTGCTCAGAGAGTTACTAGAGTTGTAGGTATATTTTAGTGCACTTGAGTCTAGTGAATTTGGTGGTTTGGTTTTCTCCCATTCAGAAAACATTTGTTTTATTTTCTGTTTTTACTATGTGTACATAATGAGAATCACTGCCCCTGGGCAGAGCCAATTTTGACACCAGGGGAAAAATTTGAACAACTATGGTAGAGGACTTATAGATTATACAGCAAACATCAAAGCTCTATGCCTTGTACCATAAGACAATTTTTTTACTATATGTACATAATGAAAACCAATGACCTCCAGAGCGGAACCAATTTTGACCCTAGGGCTATAATTTGAACAATCTTGGTAGAGGTTCACTTCACAATGTTTCATGCAAAATATCTTAACTCTAGCCTTTGTAAATTTAGAGAAGATGATTTTTTTATGTTTTACTATATACATGGGAAAACCTATGGCCCCCGGGGCGGGGCTTATTTTGACCCTAGAGGCAAAATTTGAATAACTTTGGTAGATAGATACTATCATTCAACAAATATTAAAGCTTTAAGCCTTGAACCTTCAGACAATAAGATTTTTTTTACTATATGTATCTATATATATATTTGTCAATTGCTAGAAGATTTTTTTTTAAAGTTTTAATATAAGTTTTTACGGAAAACCAATGACCCCCGGGGGCGGGGTCGATTTTCACCCCAGGGCTATAATGTGAACAATCTTGGTAGAGGTCTACCAGACAATGCCTTATGCAAAATATCTAAGCTCTAGGCCTTTTGTGTCTTTATGTACAAGAAGGTATTAAGTATTTACTATATGTACATATAGTGAAAATCAATGACACCCGGGGCGGGGCCGATTTTGACCCCAGGGCTATAATTTGAACAATCTTGGTAGAGGTCTACCAGACAATGCCTTATGCAAAATATCTAAGCTCTAGGCCTTTTGTGTCTTTATGTACAAGAAGGTATTAAGTATTTACTATATGTACATATAGTGAAAATCAATGACACCCGGGGCGGGGCCGATTTTGACCCCAGGGCTATAATTTGAACAATCTTGGTAGAGGTCTACCAGACAATGCCTTATGCAAAATATCTTAGCTCTAGGCCTTTTGAGTTTTTACAAGACGATTTTTTGAATTTATTCTTATAATTCGTTTTGGTTGCCATGGCAACCAGATTTTCTGCATGGAATGAAATTTTTTGAACAACAAGGATCAATCCTCCCAAGGTTGGTTGAAATTGGACTAGTGTTTTTTCACAAGAAAATTTTTTAAGTTCACTATATAATCTATATAACACAAAAACACAGGTGAATCGCAATATGCCACCGCAGAGCAGATGCTGTGGTGGCATAAAAAAAGAACCCCTAAAGAAATCCCAACACGGCAAAAATTTAAAATGTTGCAGGCTCGGTTTGATTGAGCCTGTTCATGGACGGTACTTTCAAGTGCAAACTACCATCCACGCCTCGAGCCTGCATCATTTTCAATGGTGTCGTGTTGGGCTTTCTTTAGGAATTCTAAACCGAGCCTGCAACATTTTCAATTGTGTCGTGTTGGGCTTTCTTTAGGGATTTTTATTTCTATGTATTTTCTTTAGGGATTCTTATTTCTCTCTATATCATTTCACCATTTTCGTGTTTAAATGTCGATTTCTGCTTAAACCAGTGCTAGTGGGCGTGGACGGTAACTTGCACTTTCCATTACCGTCCATGAACAAGCTCAATCAAACCGAGCCTGCAACATTTTACAATCTTGTCGTGTTGGGCTTTCTTTAGTGATTCTGTTTTTCACTGTTTCTACAAAAAACATATAATTTACCATGCAATGTAGTGCATTTTTTATTATGAAATATATTTCAGATTTAAATAGGATTAAACACGGACTGTTTAATAGAATTAAACCGAGCCTGCAACAATTTTAATTTTGCCGAGTTGGGCTTTCTTTAGGGATTCTTATTTCTCTCTATATTATTTCACTGACATTGAATGTTTCATGATAACCGCCATATGAACACATCTGCAGATGTTTCAAAATTTAAAATTGTACCAGTTCATATTAAATGTTGAATTCTGCTTAAGCCTGTGCTAGGGGGCGTGGACGGTAGTTCGCATTTGACTGTACCGATCAATCAAACCGTGTTGAACTTTCTTTATGGATTCTAACTTTCTCTATTCCAAAAATTCTGAATGTATTGTAATTGTCCAAGTTAACAAGAACTGTCGGAGGACAGTTACGCTCGACTATTCGAAAATTTGTCACAAGGGTGTTTCATTGAGTATAATAATGCTTACCTATATGAATACATAAAATTGTCCGAAAAGGTACAAACCCTTCAAGTTTCAATACATTCCCTTCAATACTTATGGAGATACAAGCTTACACACAAAAACTTAACCAAGAATTTATGAATCGAAAAAGGGGCATAATTATACGAAAAAGTAAATCACAGTTATGGAACTTGTGTCAATCATCTTAGATAATCACAGAGAACAAGAGTGTGAAGTTTCAATCCATTCCCTTCAGTAGTTATGGAGATACCAGCTTACATGCAAATACTTAACCAAGAATTTCTAAGTCAAAAAAGGGGCATAATTATGTAAAAAAGCAAATCAGAGTTATGGGACTTGTGCCAATCATCTTAGATAATCACAGAGACCAAGTGTGTAAAGTTTCAATCCATTCCCTTCAGTAGTTATGGAGATACCAGCTTACATGCAAAAACTTAACCAAGAATTTCTAAGTCGAAAAAGGAGCATAATTATGTAAAAAAGCAAATCAGGGTTATGGGACTTGTGCCAGTCATCTTAGATAATCACAGAGAACAAGTATGTGAAGTTTCAATCCATTCCCTTCAGTAGTTATGGAGATACCAGCTTACATGCCAAAACTTAACCAAGAATTTTTAAGTCGAAAAAGGGGCATAATTATGTAAAAAAGCAAATGAGAGTTATTGGACTTGTGTCAATTATCTTAGATAATCACAGAGAACAAGTGTGTGAAGTTTCAATCCATTCCCTTCAGTAGTTAAGGAGATACCAGCTTACACGCAAAAACTTAACCAAGAATTTCTAAGTCGAAAAAGGGGCATAATTATGTAAAAAAGCAAATCAGAGTTATGGGACTTTTGCCAATCATCTAAGATAATCACAGAGAACAGGTGTGTGAAGTTTCAATCCATTCCCTTCAGTAGTTATGGAGATACCAGCTTACATGCAAAAACTTAACCAAGAATTTCTAAGTCGAAAAAGGGGCATAATTATGTAAAAAAGCAACTCAGACTTATGGGACTTGTGCCAATCATCTTAGATAATCACAGAGAACAAGTGTGTGAAGTTTCAATCCATTCCATTCAGTAGTTATGGAGATACCAGCTTACATGCACAAACTTAATCAAGAATTTCTAAGTCGAAAAAGGGGCATAATTATGTAAAAAATCAAATCAGAGTTATGGGACTTGTGCCAATTATCTTAGATAATCACAAAGAACAAGTGTGTGAAGTTTCAATCCATTCCCTTCAGTAGTTATGGAGATACCAGCTTACACGCAAAAACTTAACCAAGAATTTCTAAGTCGAAAAAGGGGCATAATTATGTAAATAAAAGCAAATCAGAGTTATGGGACTTGTGCCAATCATCTTAGATAATCACAGAGAACAAGTGTGTGAATTTTCAATCTATTCCCTTCAGTAGTTATGGAGATACCAGCTTACATACAAAAACTTAACCAAGAATTTCTAAGTCGAAAAAGGGGCATAATTATGAAAAAAAAACAAATCAGAGTTATGGGACTTGTGCCAATCATCTTAGATAATCACATAGAGCAAGTGTGTGAAGTTTCAATCCATTCCCTTTAGTACATGTAGTTATGGAGATACCAGCTTACATACAAAAACTTAACCACATGGGACGCCGACGCCGACAAATAGGTGACTGCATTAGCTCGATTATTCTGCGAATAGTCGAGCTAAAAAGGTAATACTTAATAAATTACATAAATAACATATTTCAAAGCTAATGAAAAAGATATTATGATATATTTGAGACAATGTGGTGTTTTATTTTTTGATTTTCTGAATTATATTCATGGATTTGCATAATAAAATTACCTAAGAGATTTATTGCAAAAAGAAATTACAATATGACTAAGACAAAAGGGTTGAAAAGTAAACACAAAATGATTGAACAAAGTCATTGTTCAAACACATCATACTTATCAATAAATGTATAAAACCTCTGAAAACCGGAATCCTCTGAAAACCGGACTTTTGGTCAAGTCCGGACAGGGCCCGGTTTTCAGAGTTTTTACTGTACATGTTATTTCGTATAACATAACAGGAAAAAAAGATTGTGGAAGTCATTGTCTATACACATGTTCATATACAAATTAAACATATATGGACTAAGTTAAAAACTTAGGAGTACTTTTATTGGTACATACAACATAGCCAGTTTTAACCCAATTTTAATGTATGTTTATTATTTATTTCTATACAATACCGTAAATACGCATACTATTTTATGTTATGTCGGCTGTATAATTCAATAAAACATGTGCGTACATACATTTACATAGACATAGACAATTTACATTCATGTATACATAAATTTTTTTCCGATATAAATATGAAAGTACAAAATGCATGTTACAGACATTTTTTTTAAATACATGTAAATGCATCTATATATAATTATAATAATTCAGGGCTTCTTGCGATCGTATTTAGTCCAAAGATTACATGTTTAACTAAAATTGATACCATAGGGAAATCCACACAGCCAGTTTTAATCATTGACTGTAGTACATATACTGTTGTAGTATCGACTATTATAATATCAATAGACGCAAGTATACTGCACGACAAAAGTTACGTTGTAATGTTATTATTCGAGTTGACGTGTCGTCTCTAAACGATACAGTTTATCTTCTTTTGATTTAACCATTATGATACCATCAGATGTCCAAGTATTTGTTATAAGATGTTCACGAGCTAGTCTTCGACACTCAAAGAATATCCCGCTTCTCGTATGTGTGAGATCTTCATTTAAAAAACTACCTTTAAATTTGGACACACGTAGTTTTGATTTTTGTTTAAACATTTTTGCGCGTGATCTGTAAGAAGTGAACTTTACAATAATGTCGCGAGGCTTTGCGTTGATAACAGTGTTAGACGGCCTTCCTAGGCGGTGCGATCTGTCAATGTCACTCAACTGTATATTTGCACCCATGGACTTCGCAACATCAAGAACAACCTCATCAGTATCTTCTGTATTGATTAGCCTTGTCTTGTGACTCGTTAGCTTTAATGAGTTTGGCTTCGAGATCTAAGACTCTACTTTTAAGATTTTTGTTTTCATTTTCTAAAAACTCTAGCCTATTGTTGATTTTCTGGACAATACTCTCAACAGCATCAGTTACGATAGTTTTTATTTGATCTTGGAAGTTGTGCGATATGATATTTCCATATTTTTGAAGGTCCTCATCACTCAGTGTTATTTGAGCAGTTGATGACGCTGTTGGTTCTGCTAATGAAGTAAGTGAATCAGATTGACATTTCTTAAGATCGTTTGGATCAAACTGAGACGAGAGCTCTTCTTTGCTTTTATCAGAAGGAGCTGGGGTAGAACAATCATTCATGGTGCGTTATTTATGTAGCGTAGTATACAACAAAAACGGATTAACGTGACAAGTTGGATAACTCACTTTACTTGGAATGTTTATAATCCTGGTCAGTAGAGCATAACTCAGGTAAACAAAGGTAAATATATTTGAAGTATGTGCGAGTTACGAAGAAAATCTTCAAAGAAAACAAAGTCTTTTCACCTGTGAATGTCCTAATGTCCTAATTCCAAATATATATACATTATATCACCTTACATTGTTTTAAACTAAAAACTAGTAACTTTAGTCACATTTTCACAATAAATTCCTAAGAAAACAGGTTTTTAATGAATCGGATCAGAATTTTTAACTGATATTTGCTCAACTTCAGTTGTTGTTCTTTTGTTTTTTATTTTGAAATTATTGCCATTTACAACGGAAATTTCTTACATCAAAGCAGAACAATACAAGCATTTTTCAATTAATATTGAAAAAAAAACGTAAAGAAAACATACCAAAAAACACAAAAATACTGAGATAATGGTCAAATTAACGCAAAAAGATATACATACGTGTTGTTGTTGTTGTGGTACTTGTTGTACTTGTAGTAGTTGTTGTTGTAGTAGTGGTCGGAGTGGTCGTCGTTGTTGAAGTGGTCGTAGTTGTTCGCTCAAGGACAGTCAAGTATATGTACAGGTACTTGGAGCCGTACGTGTTACTAATGAGACACATGTATTGACCAGCATCTGCGGGCACGACATCGTGAAGTATCAAAATCTCCGGACTCTCGTCAACACCTTGTAGGTACTGAAATTAACAATGAAGTACTACTTATTTCAAGGTCCTTTATTATACATTGCTTCCCAATATCCAAGAAATAGATATTAGGCTATCAAAAACATTTTTTAACGTGACTGAGTGAAAGTGACTACCCGTCTTGTGATTGTGAAATATTACAGTTCTTTAATCCTCATTGCTCTGATATATTCTGTATCAAAAATTCTTCTTCAAAAGCAATTAAATAATTTGTTTCTATATATTTCACCTCTATAGCACTGTAACCATTTTTTTTCAATATGGGATAAATTTGATCCCTACATGTGACTTATAGACTTAAAGAAATAGTTAAATAAAATTATTGTGTAAATACAAATGTATCTTGCTCTGCAAAATGACACTAGCTGAAGTGACAGTGTTACATAATAAGTGAATCACCTCTGGTATAAATTTAAATGTATTGTGGTCTAACACCTATAGGTGGTGGCATGGCCGAGCGGTTAACACTTCGGACTAGTAATCTAATGATAGCTAGCCACATGGGTTCAAACCCTGAGGCAAGTCATAGTTTCCTTGAGCAAGAAACTTAACACTCATTGCTCAGTATTGGTTGGTTCCATGAACAGATTCGAAAGTGTGTTTATAAGCTAATAGCTTCCTACACAATCAAACTAAAATAAATTATGCATAAATCAACTCCTATACTATAACTTACTGTATGTTGTGGTCTATCACCTATGGTTTCATCTCGTTCTATTCGAAGCCACTGAATCTTTGCTGTCTCATCATTGGTTACAATACAAAAAAACCTGGCGTCCTCCCCCTCATATACAGTCATATTGGACGAGACATTGGCTTCAAGTGGCCAAATCTTCTCTGAAAGCAAATAAATTACATCTCAATGTACATGTATTATCATAACATCTGAAACTTATAGAAACTATAATGGGAAAAAATCATTATTTCATAAAATCCAGGCATGTTTATATATAGCCAAAGCCAATATCTTACTGTAAATTAAGTTTTTTTGCAAATTAAAAATTTCATGAAATCAACATTTTTTTATTTTTTGGACTAATTGGTAAGATGAAATGTTCGTTAATTTCTATTTTCAGTTCCGTTAATTTTATATGGTAGTAACTTAGCAAACATTTATAATGGCAAAAAAAATCTGTAATGCTCATAATTTAAGTAATTAAATCCCCTGAATTTGCAGTTTGAATTTCAAGCTGTGGGCATTGGAATAGTTTACAACGACAATACAGTTTAACCTCTGCAGAGCAAAACAACACCCTTTGGGAGACTTGAGAGTTTTAATCTATTGTGAAATCTTGCTTAAAGAAGAGTTGAACTGGTTATTGCCCTATAGAAATTTCACTGTAATGCCATTTTCATAATAGATATAAAGTTTTATAGCAATATACTACCAATTCCTTGTTATTCATTCATGCTGCTGCTACAAAAATGAATGACAATATCAAAACTTCTTGCAGATACTTCTAATTTTAGAAAATAGTCATTATAAAGAAACTAAAGACCTCGGGCCTCATAGAGTAGAACCAACAACCTTCAGTTATACTAGCAGTAGAGAAATAGCCCCTTCATATGAGAAGATTTAATATCCCTTTTATATGGGATTTGAATTTACAGCACTTCTGCGGGAACAATTTCCAGTGAACAATGTTAAAACTACTTGCCCACAAATTTCTAGCAAAATATTTATGCCAACAAATTCTTATTTCAGTTTAACAATTTTGGACAAATATCAAAAGTAACAAAGTTTGGTTTTCGCTTTCTGCCATCTATGAAAAACACTTTTCATAAATTATATAAGCTGACTAGTACAGATATCAAATACATTTTGAAAGATTTACAATCAATTACTGCACCTTTAGTAAGAGTCAATGTAAACAGATACTGCACAGTCAGCAATTTTGCAGCATTAATTCTGTCACCTCAGCAAAGCACAAAAATTGTAATTACATATAAATAATGAAGTACATGCAATAGTCTCGAGATTTTGTGACAATTTTAGAAAATCTGCCCATAAATCGACATAGATTACGGAAATTCTCTAAATTAGTCATATAGCCTATTAGCAGTAGGTCTGCTAATAAACAAGGTGTATTTGTACACAAATTGTTAAGGTGACATATAAGTTTTCATTAAAATGTATAATAATGTATTGTTATATGTCTTATGCACATTTCATAAATTAGTATTGTCAAAAGATTTTCCCCATGAAAAAGAGACTATAATGCTAGTTTTTGCTGAGTTAAGAGCAAGTTGTAAAACTTTACATGTTTGTAACAAGGGCACCTTGAAGGTCCCTTAAAATTTGAAAATATAAAAATCCTAAGTAGATCCACTTTGGGATTTAAAGTAGAAAATTATAAAGAAAAAAGATAAATTTTCAATATTATAAACTGCATAATTGATTATTCTCACAATCTAAAGGTCCTAGTCTCATTCAAATTAGTGTAACCCCTGTAAAACCTGGTTATATAACCAAGTTACTATTACCCTCTGAATGCTATTTTATAAAACAACAACCTTCTAATTTATATAACCAAAACCATCTGAAGATTGGTTTATATAACCATATTGTTTAATTAACCATGTCTCTCTGGTGTATATAACCAAATGTTTCTGAATACTGGATTATATAACCAAACCATTTAATTTTTTGTTTAAATAACCAACCAAAATCTAAATAATCATTACACTGTGCATGATGGCTAATGTCGCAAAGAAACCTCTGAAATACTGGTTACATTTACAATAACACTTTCAAGGTTTGTTTATATACAACTGGTTGCATAATTTCAACATTCTGATATTCAACAACAAAGAACTGGTAGTTCCAAAATAATCGCAGGTCTGATTAATACTGTAAAAATAGCCAGGAAAAAAAGACTCCAGTAAAGTAAACTGTTTCCAGAGTTCTTCCAAAATATCAGAATCATGCAACCTTAATAGATTGGAGTTTAATTTTATAAAATATAAAGATGCATATTTATCAATATTTCTGGTAGTAATAAGTAATTACATTGCTCTGTATTCTGTATCTATCATGCCAAGTTAAGAGCAAAACATCTAATTTACATCAGCTATACCTACTATTTTAAATTTGTCTGTTTTATAAAAATGAAATTTA